AGAGAGAGAGAGAGAGAGAGAGAGAGAGAGAGAGAGAGAAGAGAGAAGAGAGAGAGCTCTCAGCGGAAGCCACAACCCCTCACCCTGAGTGACCGGAAACAGAAGACCACGGGGTGTCCGAGGCGGGAACAAGAGGGGCGGGTCTGCAGGGAAGAAAGGACAGACAATGTCTTAAGGCTCACTGGAAAGATTTCCAGATAGCTTTAAGAGGGACAAACCAGAAGTCTCCCTGCCCTGGGCTCACCCACAGTTCGGGGTGAGAGGGAGGGGGAGGGAGGGGGCAGGACTAGGTATAGCTGCTGGACCTCTCTGGTCTGTGATTAGACAGGGGCACTAAAGGGGGCAGAAAGTAGATCCGCTTTTCTCCCAGGGCCTGCACACCGAGGCACTGAAAAGACAAAAAGGCTAGCAGAGAACAGTCCCTCCTTGACCTCTTCCTATCACCTGCCTGTCGGGTCAAGCCTTCCTGATACTGCCCATGGTGGGGCGGGGCGTGATGGGATGTTCCGCTCTGCACTCCGTTTACAACCCCCCTCGCCTCTGGACTACGACGGGGGTTTTCAAGGTCTGGTCTAGGAGTTAGGGGATTGGATCTCAAGGTGTTATTGGACCTGGGCATCACCAAGCGATGGCTTCTGAGTAGAAAGGACTTGAGCAGGGACCTTCTCTGGTCATTCTGTCCTGTGTCCCAGGATGGAGAAAGTCTATGAAACGTGGTTGCACACACATTTCCTGACCCAACCCATAGTGGCAGAGAGCTGGATAGCGCTTCGAACTAAATGGGCGCTCCTCCCAGCTGCCAGCCAAGACACTTGACTCCTACATCCGCTGGTTGATTTAGGCAAGCCGCTTCCCTCTCTGAGCCAAAAGTCCCCAAGTGTAATACTCAAAGAAGAGGCCTTCCTTACAGGCACCCCCAAACCTCCTTCATGCTACCAAGAGAGGGTCTGGACAGATGCCAAAGAGAAAGAGGAAAAAGCAAGGCTCTCCGCAGCGGCCAGACTCGAGCCAGACGGGACTCTTCTGGCTGGGCGAGGCTCTTTGAGGAACCGAGAGTTACTGGGACCCAGCCCCCGAGGTGGGGGAGGCGTGGAGTGGGGGAACAAACAGAACACTGCTCCCCTCCCCCCGACCCCTGCCCTTTGTCCGGAATCCAGCTGTGCTCCGCGGGTGGGGGGTAGGGGGAGGAGCGGGCTCGCGTGGCGCAGCCCCTGGGCCCCTGCTGCTGATTGGCCCGTGGCGCAGGCAGCAGCCAGGCAGGCACGCTCCTGGCCTGGGCAGAGCAGATAAAGCGTGCCAGGGGACACACGACTTGCAGCTCAGAAATCCTTCTGGGTCTCACCACCGCAGTAGTGGCCGAGGACCCCCTTGGAGCTTCTCTACAGCTTCCAGACGCAATTTACTCCAGGCGAGGGCGCCTGCCACTCAGCAGAACTTCGCAGCTGAGCCGAGGAGCTCAGCTAGCCACTGCTGCTTGACACTGACCGACACGCTGCTCTCTATTCTTTTGAGCCCGGAGAACTAGGTAACAATTAGGAACCTCCAAAGGGTAGACGAGGGGTGCGGGGTGTCTACTCTGGTCCCGCGTGGAGTGAGTTCTGCTCTAAGTCAGAGGCTGTCACACACCCTTTCCATTTTTTCCCAACCGCAGGATGGCGCCTCATCCCTTGGATGTACCCACCATCCAAATGCCCCGAGAGACCCAGCAACCTTTCCCCGGAGCCTCGGACCACGAAGTGCTCAGCTCCAATGCCACCCCACCTAACCCCACTCTCATACCGAGGGACTGCTCCGAAGCAGAAGCGGGTGACTGCCGAGGGACCGCGAGGAAGCTCCGCGCCAGGCGCGGAGGACGCAACAGGCCCAAGAGCGAGTTGGCACTGAGCAAGCAGCGTCGAAGCCGGCGCAAGAAGGCCAATGACCGGGAGCGGAATCGTATGCACAACCTTAACTCGGCGCTGGATGCGCTGCGCGGTGTCCTGCCCACCTTCCCGGATGACGCCAAACTTACAAAGATCGAGACCCTGCGCTTCGCCCACAACTACATCTGGGCACTGACGCAGACGCTGCGCATAGCGGACCACAGCTTCTACGGCCCGGATCCCCCTGTGTCCTGTGGGGAGCTGGGCAGCCCAGGAGGTGGCTCCAACGGCGACTGGGGCTCTATCTACTCCCCAGTTTCCCAAGCTGGTAGCCTGAGTCCCACAGCCTCATTGGAGGAGTTCCCTGGCCTGCAGGTGCCCAGCTCCCCATCCTGTCTGGTCCCGGGCGCCCTGGTGTTCTCAGACTTCTTGTGAAGAGACCTGTCTGGCCCTGGGTGGCAGGTGCTGGCAGAAAAGGGAGGGGGTCAGAGCCGTCTGAAGTGGGATGTAGTGAAGGCCCTCAAGCATCTCGCCCCTTCTGGCTTTTACTAGTTGGATCCCTAGCCCACTCACTGAGTTTCGCCAGGCTTCTCCCGGTACAATTGCTGCTGTGCATACACAGCAGACACTGCAGGCTGCTCTCCTCTTAACCCTGCTCGGTGCGGCCACCTCACGCTGCCATTTGCGAGTGGTAGCACTACCTAGTAGACTACTATACTTCCTGGTGACTCCGCCCTCATTCAAATCTGCCGGCCTGCGACCATCGCTTTTTTCCCAGGGTGACCTAATCCAGTGTTGCGTCTTACCTCACTGGCTCCTTCATCCAGCTCTTGGTCCATAGATGATGCTCATCCTCTTTTCTGCCCATTATGTCCAGGGTTTCTGAGCTTCTCCAGTCTGCCTTAATCCACGAAGGTGATCTTCCGCCTTCTTCTGCACTTTTCGAGTCGTTACCCTCCCCCCAGGGGAGATAGGGGTATGGACCAGAAAGCCCTAGCCTATAGCTAGAGAGAGCATCTCTAGCTAGAGCTTGTCTCCCGTGTCTGAATTGTGAGCTCTGGGGACGGGTACCTGAAGCACTGTTTGTCTCCCTAAAAAAGGAAAAAAAAAAAAGAAATCAGTTTGTAAATGATATAATGCCTTTTGAAATGAATTTTGTTATGGTAAATTATATGCCTCCTGTCCCCATTTTACACATTTGTATTTATTGATGCCATTTCATGGTAGGAGAGTTTATATTTTGTACATAAGAGTATCAAGAACTGGTGGTGATTGAGATTTTGAGCTAACGAATAAAAGATGAACCTCGAGAATCTTCAGCAAGGTGACTCCATTGTTCGGAGAGAAGGGGAGGAGGGTGACAACCTCTGCAGGGATGAATAGGGTAATTCTCCTCCCACCCCCAACCCCGAGCAGAGTGAGGTGAGGATTTTCTAGGGAGTGTGGGACCTCTGCCTTGGGTGCTGGGCTGGAGGTGGGGCAGACTGAAGAGACTACGAAGTCTTTTACAAAGTCTTTAGTCTGGGGCTCTTGTTTTCTCTATGGGACTTGCCTATTTCCGACAGCAGTTTAAAAGATAGGCAAATCTCTTAACTGGATCTAGTGATTTTATAACCTCTACACACACACACACACACACACACCACACCTGCTTGAATTTAGAACTACACTGCCCTTAGGAAAAGTCATTATAATAGGAGCCTCTAGAAACACCACCCCCAGGGTTCCTTCCCCTAAGGTATTTAGACACCCAGCAAGATTCTACCTCTATGTCACATTTTGCTGACCAGGCTCTAGAAAACCATCTTTTCCAACAGTTTAGCTGAGAAGGTAGAGGGTCTAGCTGGGATCTCTACACCCCTAGAAACCTACACTCTGGACTGAAAGTGTATCTCTGCTCACAAAGTAGCCTGGCTTTGCAGCCCAGTGAGTTCTCTAGCTCTCTGGGAGGCCAGAGACTGGCTCACCATAGCACTGGAAACTAGCTGTCCAGAAGGTGCTAGGAGAGAAATAAGGCATGGAACTGATTGTCCCTAAAGCTATGCTGAGCTATTAGAGAACTGTGCAGCTTGTCTCTTGGGGTCAAGAAAATGGAAAGTAGATCCTCAGGGACCAACCCAAAGGAGAAAGAAAGAGAAGCCAACCCACCCAGGTCGGTTGCTGCCAGAGAGTGATCTGTGTGCAGGTTGCCTCTGTGCTGGAGGTTACAGGTGGCGGTTTCTCAGGCTCTGATGCTAATGCCTCCGGTGTCTTTCTCTTCCATGCCCTCCCCCCTCAATCTGAACATTTTTTTTTCCTATTCCCAAGTCCCTAAAGGAAGCTCAGGGGGAGCTGTCTTCCTTATCAAAGATAAAGGTTGCGGGGGGGGGGTGCGCCAGGCCGGGAGTGGGGACAGCAAACAAGCGCATGAACAGAGCGTTGTTTTTGGTTGGTAGCCTTAATCTGCGAGGAGGAGATTAATGGGTTATTGGAAGCCTCAACAACAACCAACTTTCCACCTGGGGCACTGCCTCGGGGCAGGTGTCAACAGCTCCCTGCTGTACACAGATCAAGCTAGCTATGTGTTGTGTCCTGGGGGGAGGGGAATAGGCAAATCTTTGAAAAGCAGGAATGTTTCCGTTCTGGCCTTCTGGGACAGTAACGTGCAAAAAGACAAAAAACACTCAAGACCAAAGTAACATTGTTGCTCCTTGAGAAGGAGCCACAGGTGGAGGGGGAGACAGCTACCTGGGCTTGGACTGCAGAAGGCTTGCCCAAGGATGTCCTTGGGAGGGAGAACTCAACATATGGAGAATTCCTGAAGCAGAAAGATCACTTTTCCTGTACCAGACTATGGAAAGTAGCATTTCTCTAGGGTGGGTGGGAGCTCCTTTGGCACAAGCCACTTGTCTGAAACAATCTGGACAATGGAGGAGCTTGAGGCACGTCCACTGTCCGCTCTCTCAGATTTCCCAAGCATGTGTGCGTGTGTTAAGGGAAGTGGGCGTACACACACACACACACACACACTCGTCCTCTGTCCCATGGATGTACACATGTACAATTTAACCTCCCCTGGCTCAGCTGTTAACTAGAGTTGGGGGTGGATTTGACTCCAGAGCCATCTGAATTGTTCTCCGAGTCTGGAGGGGCAGATGAAAGTTTAGGGTTTGATTTGAGTGCCTGCAAAATTTAGGGTTCCGTGCTTTGGAGAGCTGCCTCAGCCTGAGCTTTTTAGAAATATGGGCAAGTCAAACTACGGCCGCAACAGTCCCCTGTCTCTCTCTGCTCTGGACATCTGATGTTTTGCAGCCTTTAAAGCTCAGTGTAACTGCTGGGAGCTCCTCTGGCTGGCCTTTGGTTGGTCCTGTGATCTGGGGTCACCAACAGTACCCAGCTCCTAGAAACTCTGTTAAGATTCCAAGTCTTGTCAGGAAAAGCCCTTGGATAGAGTGAATCTTCCTCCTGCTCTCTAGTTTTTTTTTTTGTCAGAGTCCATGCCTAGCTCCCAGAAGAACTGCACATGAATCTTGGGCTCAAACCCCCCCCCCAATCCCTTCAGCACACACACACAAGCAGGTAGATTTATGGTGCCCTGTCCCCATCCCACCCCTCCCCCCCCACCCCAGCCGGCCTTGGTTGGAGGACAAAGCAACCCAGAGCTGTTGGAATGCTAATGTCTGGAAGCCAGGCCACTGGGCTGACACAAAAGCAGGCAGGGCTGAGAGGACCCTACCCTTTTGGGCTGCAGTGTTGTGTGACCTTGGACAAGTCGCCAGCCTCAGCTAAATCTAAACGGAAGTTAGAGACAGTTTCCAAAGGCTAGTGAATGGGTACTCACTAGATTTCCGGTAGTCTAAGAGAAGGCCCAGCTTACAAAGAATGAAATTACAACTCCCAGTACCCCACCTATACTTCAACCAGAAGTGGTGTAAAGGAAAAAACAAACAAACAAACAAACAAAAAACCACCCTTAAGTCCCAAGCACCAAGGATGGTATAGGAAGGCATGGAGTAGGGTAGTTTACAGAATAAATACCAAACAAATCTAATTACATTTATGTGATTTTTCTCTTTTGAATTTCCCCTCCCCACTGTACCCCAACTTCAAAATTCTGGCAAACAAAATTCTGGCAAACAAAGGAAAAAAGCAGGAGCCAGCATTTGCTGACCCCCTACCCCATCTTCAAGGAGTCAGATGCATGGGTGGAGCGTAGATGCATTGAGGCGAGGCACCCATGTGAGGTACCCTCCTCATGCCATGTGCAGGGTAAGATGAATGCCCTCACTCATAGGAACATGGATCCCAGAAGACCCATTGCCATCTGGTTACTATGAAAGAAACCAGACCTGACTCTAGTGATTTGGTGTTCTTCACTCTTTGCCCTTAGATAGAAGAGGAACAGGAGTTTGGGGAGCAAGAAGTTGTGCATCTTTGGGTCCAGCTATTTCCCCAGGGCTCCAGTAAGACCTAGAGGCTCCCTTGTGTGTTGCTCCGCCTGACTTCTAGGGCTCCTGGCCCACTTCCAGGTCCTGACCATTATCGCTGCTTCTGAGATCCCTGGTTCAAGATGAATCTTTGTACCATCACTGCCTAGCTCATTTTCCTTAGCGACTCCTTAACTCCTGAAGCTTTAACCGTGGCCCTGACCATGGTGCTGAAACCATGGTGTCCTAGCACTAAAGATGCTCCTGGACATGTCCTGTTCTCAGTACAGAAAACTGCCTGCCTATCACCTTCGATTCGTGTTTCCAAGATGGATTCCTCAGGATGTAGGACTACCAAGTTTCCATAAGTGGGTAAGCATGGGCCTTTACCGCTGCCTGACTGGGTAAACCTAGCAATCTCCCCCCACCTCTCTCTCTTTCTCTCTCCCACTTCTTACATAACCCCCCAAATTAGAAGCTAGCATTGAATGGCATGCTCAGAAAATTCCAACAGCACCTAAGAAGTCTGGCGAAGAACAATGTTGCAAGTTTGGTGTAGGAAAACCCTAGACAGTAGACATTATTTGAAAACTTTTCCCTCAATGTTGGCTTTATCTTTGAGTTACAATGAAGCTTTCAGGATTCCAAGGACCAGAGTAAAAAGAAGTCTTCCAAATGCAGACACAGAATGCCAGGGAGGTGGCTAGCTTTAGACACAGATACATGAGTTCAAATCCTGATGCTGCCACTAATTTGTGGTTTTGCATTAAGCCCCCCCCCCTTATCTTCTTAAAGTCTATTTTCCTCATTAATAGAGCAGAGACAATGACTAACAGCCACATAACAGGGCTTCTGAGCATTCCTGGTGGGCAGCTCTGCTGTGCCACCGTTCAGGGATTCCTTCCATCTTTATCTTCCATCAGTTCCTAGGTGCTGACAATCAAAAGACTAGGCTGCATCATCATAGGTGCTGACAGTAGGAAGAGAAATAAAGCTCACCCACAGCCTTCAAGCTTCAACCCTGCAGCATCACAGAACACTTATTGCATCCCACTAGGAGAACATGACAAAGTCTGACCTAGCTGAATGGGAAATGGCACCTGGCTTGAAGAATTGGAGAGTTGATTCTGGATTGAGGTCAGGACTAAGTTGGATGACATTTGCTATTTCTTATTGGATTTATTATTCTAGACTGTGTACATTTGTGACTAGAGAGCTAACACAACTATCTGTTTTAAAATGTACAATGAACATTATTACTAGTCTAGGATAGTCAAAATTCTGTACCCTTCGATCAACATCTTCCCCTCTCCCTCCTCCTTTTAGATATATATATTTTTTCTGTATTCATTCATCAGTTGGTAAGCATATGACTTCAGATCTCAGATATCATAAATAGTGGATA